CCCTGACAGTTAGGAACTTTTTCCTAACGTCCAACCTAAACCTCCCTTGCTACAGTTTAAGCCCATTGCTTCTTGTTCTATCCTCAAGCCAAGGAGAACAAGTTTTCTCCCTCCTCCTTGTGACACCCTTTTAGATACCTGAAAACCGCTATCGTGTCCCCCCTCAATCTTCTCCTTTCCAAACTAAACAAACCCAGTTCCTTCAGCCTTCCCTCATAGGTCATGTTCTCTAGGCCTTTAATCGTTCTTGTTGCTCTTCTCTGGATCCCTTCCCTTGGATCCAAGAGGATTTTGGAGGGATTTTTTAGCTACATGTCGTTTCTCTGCCTCTGCCTCTGCTTTGAGGTCGTTTTTGAGCTGACACTGCCTGACAGCACTGCAGAACGTCCCTCTTCGTGTGCTTTAGACAGGGCCTGTGCCGTGTGTATTGTACAAAGTTCTTGCCAGCCCACTAGTTCAGTCTTTTCTTAGCATGAGGGTCACGCTGGACGAAAGGAGGGTAGGAGGAAACCTTCCCTGAGGGCACCTGACAGCCTATTGGAGAGGTTTTTGTGCCTTCCTTTGAAATACTTGGTGCTGAGCTCTGTCAGGGAGAGGACACCGCTCTGGATGGTCTGATCTAGTTTGGCACTTGATCTACAAAAGGCACATTCAAGTGCCTGCAAGTTTTTTCTCCTAATTGCTGCTGCTAATTAACAATGTCGAAAATTCACCTGCCTGAACCGAGGAAGAGCAAAGGGGCTGGAAAGTTTGTGTAAATGCAAATTCTGTGTCTAGGCTGGGCTGCTGGATCCAGCCACAAACTTCCGCAGAGGTAAAGGATCCGAGCCTCGCGCTGGCAGAAGCCAGTGTGTGAAAGCATCACCTCCATTGGAGCTGGAGCACGCGTGTGGGTCTTAAACTCCCAGGGCTCCAAGCACACGTGTCAACGCAGCAAAACTCACGCGTCACTTGCACCATCTCGGTAGCCCCATTGGATGCGTCTACACAGCAATAAAAAACTGCAGCTGCATGTCTCTCAGCCCGATGACTCAGGCTTGCAAGGCTGAAAATAGCAGTGTGGCTGTTGGGGATTTGGGAGGAGCCCGGGCTTTCTTACAGGGTTTCAGAGCCCGCACCCAAACTTCTGCCCTGAGATCTTTAGTCCTCCAGCCTGAATCTGCACCTTAGTGTTGGGGATCTTTTATTGCTGTGCAGACTAGGGATGGACAATCTCGTTTAATTGGTTAACCAGCGCTTACTGGATAATTGGCTAACCCAGCGTTTCCCAAACTATGGGCTGCGGCCTGGTACTGGGCCGCAGGAAAAAAATACCAGGCCTCAGCGTGGTTGCCAGGGTGTTCTGGGCTCCCAGAGTGCTCTTGTGGCACCAGGTCCGCCAAGCCCTTGGCCGGCTTGAGCATAACCTGCATCCTGATGTTCTGGCTCCCGGCAGAGGCGTAGCTAGGGGAGATCGGGAATGGGGGAGTGGGGAGGAGGGGGAGAGCTGGCTACCGGAAGGGGCACTGGGCAGGGGAATTGGGGTGGGCTTTGGAGATTTGGGGCAGGGGGCAGCTGGCGGAAGCAGAGCTGGCCGGGGGCCAGGGGGCTGGCTGGGAAATCAGGAGGAGTAGGGGAGAAGCAGCTGCCGGAAGCAGGGCTTGCCTGGGGCATCGGAGCTGGCTGGGGGGGGGTGGGGGGGGCGGG